CATAGGTTCAAATCTGATTTTAGATTTGAGATTTGACCTTCATTGACCTACTCAAGGTCAAAAAAGGACAAAACGTTATTTTATCATGTTTTCAATTTTTTTGTAAATCGTCTACAAGTTATCAAAAGTTGAAATCTGACTATAGATTTGACCTTCAATGACATTTTCAAGGTCAAAATGGTCTTTTTTCAACTTGCTTCAAATTGACAATTTTTTTAAAATCATCTACAAGTTCTCAGGAGATTTAACCGTCAATGACCTTCACAGGTTCAAAGAGGTCTTTTTTCAACTTGCTTCATATTGACATTTTTTTAAAATCTTCTACAAGGTCTCATAAATTCAAATCTGACTTAAGATTGAACTAGCGATATTGTGAGCAACTAGGTGGTGACATTTTGTCTTGTTAATGCCTTGCTGAACCATATTATCACATCCTTCTTTAGAGAACCAAAATAACAATTTTGAAGAAGGAGGTACTAGCTCTGGAAGCCCGTGTTCGGAGAATGGAAAATAGATACAAATTTTACATGTTGATGTTCATAATTCATCCCCTCGTTCCTTTTTACAGATAGTTCTATCACTGGGGTATACACACACATATTACATGCTTGTGTTCATAATTCATCTCCTCGATTCTTTTGTCTGATAGTTCTATCACTTGGACATATAGACAATACATGCTGGTGTTCATAATTCATCACCTCGTTTTCAGCTCACCTGGTGAGATATTGCAATCACTCATTTGTCCGTCTGTCTGTCCGTCCGTCTGTCTGTCAACAAATGACCCGTTTTATAACCTCTGTCAATAGGATTCCCCTTTTTAGTTACCATGACTCCTGGTTCAAAAGGTCGCCTATTTTCAGAATGGCCGCCATTTTTGTCTCGCGAAATTCAATTTTTGACCTTTTGCTTTTAGAACCTCTGTCGATAGGATTTCCATTTTAAATCATTTTTGTTCAACGTCAACACAGAAATCTCCCATATGACTCCTGGTTCAAATACTCGCCCATTTTCAAAATTGTCAACATTCCTGGCCAAACCTTTTCTATCCTGATGTGATAGCTATAATCATATATATACTTTCCATATTTAGCAAAACATGGGGAAATGTTTTCATATAGCCAATATTGAAAATTTAAAAATGTAGTGCTCATTTCCAGTAAGCTGCCATCTTTTAAGATTTTACTCAAAGAGTGATGTCATCGACTCTCAACTTTCATGACCTTGCATATAACAGTATAGGAAAATAGCACAATATCACTTCTAGAAAGTGATCCTTACTTTATGCGCAAAAATATGTTCAGAGCTTCTCAGCTTAGAATAAAAGAAGATACTTTTAGAAGGATTAAATCATAGACAAAATTGAAAAAGTCTTGAGCATTCATATATGAATATTCAGCTGGTTTTGTAATTCTTAATAGCTCCTTATAGTGTTATATGCAAAGTTGAGAGTCGATGACATCACTTCCTGAGTGAAATATTAAAAGATGGCAGCCTACTGGAATTCGGCACTACATTTTCAAGTGATCAATATTTACCATATCGAAACATTTTTCCCTGTTTTGCTAAATATGGAAAGTATATATATGGTTATATCTACCATATTAGGAGAGAAATGGTCTGACCAGGAATATTCCTTTTTCAAAACATAATTTCGGGTGTTCACCACCTCGATCTTTTGTCTGATAATTCTATCATTTAGACATATAGATACAAATATGTTACATGCTAGTGTTAATAATTCATTCGATCGTTTATTTTGTGTGATAGTTCTATCGTTTGGACATATATACACAAATGGCACATGATGGTGTTCACAATTCATCACCTCGTTTCTTTTGTCTGACCTAGTCCTATCACTTGGACATACAGACACAGATATGTTACATGTTAGTGTTTATAATTCATAAAATAGTATTTATGATTCACCAACTCGTTTCCTTTGTCTGATAGTTCTATCACTTGGACAACAGACACAAATATTACATGCTAGTGCTCATAATTCACCAACACGTTTCTTTTGTCTGATAGTTCTATCACTTGGACAACAGACACAAATATTACATATAATAATTCTATCATTTAGACATATAGACACACAAGTTACATGCTAGTGTTTATAATTCATCATCTCGTATCTTTTGTCTGGTAGTTCTATCATTTGGACAAACAAACACAAATGTAATATGCTAGTGTTTATAATTCATAACCTCGTTACTTTTGACGGATTGTTCTATCACCTTGACATGGAGAGACAAATATTACATGCTTGTATTCACAATTCATCACCTCGTTTCTTTTGTCTTATAGTTCTATTACTTGGACATGTAGACACAAATGGCACATGCTAGTGTTCACAATACATCACCTAGTTTCTTTTGTCTTATAGTTCTATTACTTTGACATATAGACACAAATGACACATGCTAGTGTTATGATTCGTCACGTCGTTTTGTTTGTCTGATAGTCATATCACTTGGATTTAGACACAAATGGCACATGCTAGTGTTCACAAATCATCACCTCGTTTCTTGTGTCTCATAGTTCTATTACTTGGACATATAGACACAAATGACGCATGCTAGTGTTCACAATTCATCACCTCGTTTCTTTTGTCTTTTAGTTCTAATTAGATATAGAGACATAATTGACACATGCTAGTGTTCACATTTCATCACCTCGTTTCTTTTGTCTTATAGTTCTATTACTTGGACATATAGACACAAATGACACATGCTAGTGTTCACAAATCACCACCTCGTTTATTTTGTCTTATAGTTCTATCACTTGGATATAAAGAAACGAATGGGACATGCTAGTGTTCACAAATCATCACCTCGTTTCTTTTGTCTTATAGTTATGTTACTTTGACATATAGACACAAATGGCACATGCTAGTGTTCACAATTCATCACCTCGTTTCTTTTGTCTTATAGTTCTATTACTTGGACATATAGACACAAATGGCACATGCTAGTGTTATGATTCGTCACCTCGTTTCTTTTGTCTGATAGTTCTATCACTTGATTATATAGACACAAATGGCACAGGCTAGTGTTCACAATTTATCACCTCGTTTGTTTTGTCTTATAGTTCTAATTAGATATAGAGACATAATTGACACATGCTAGTGTTCACATTTCATCACCTCGTTTCTTTTGTCTTAAAGTTCTATTACTTGGACATATAGACACAAATGACACATGCTAGTGTTCACAAATCATCTCCTCGTTTCTTTTGTCTTATAGTTCTATTACTTAGATATATAGACACAAATGGCACGTGCTAGTGTTCACATTTCATCACCTCATTTCTTTTGTCTTATAGTTATGTTACTTGGACATATAGACACAAATGACACATGCTAGTGTTCACAAATCACCACCTCGTTTCTTTTGTCGTATAGTTCTAGTACTTTGATATGTAGACACAAATGGCACATGCTAGTGTTCACATTTCATCACCTCATTTCTTTTGTCTTATAGTTCTATTACTTGGTCATATAGACACAAATGACACATGCTAGTGTTCACAAATCATCACCTCGTTTCTTTTGTCTTATAGTTCTATCACTTGGACATATAGACACAAATGGCACATGCTAGTGTTCACAATTTATCACCTCGTTTCTTTTGTCTTATAGTTCTATTACTTGGACATATAGACACAAATGGCACATGTTAGTGTTCACAATTCATCACCTCGTTTCTTTTGTCTTATAGTTCTATTACTTGGATATATAGACACAAATGGCACATGTTAGTGTTATGATTCGTCACCTCGTTTGTTTTGTCTGATAGTTCTATTACTTGGACATATAGACACAAATGGCACATGCTAGTGTTCACAATTCATCACCTCGTTTCTTTTGTCTTATAGTTCTATTACTTGGATATATAGACACAAATGGCACATGCTAGTGTTCACAATTCATCACCTCGTTTCTTTTGTCTTATAGTTCTATCACTTGGACATATAGACACAAATGGCACATGACAGTGTTCACAATTTATCACCTCGTTTGTTTTGTCTAATAGTTCTATTACTTGGACATATAGACACAAATGTTACATGTTAGTGTTATGATTCGTCACCTCGTTTCTTTATCTGATTGTCCTATCACTTGGATATATTGACACAAATATAAATGTTCTTAATTCATCACCTCGTTACTTTTGGCGGATTGTTCTATCACCTTGACATATAGAGACAAATATTGCATGCTTGTTTTCATTATTCATCACCACGTTTCTTTTGTCTGACAGTCCAATCACTTGGACATATAGACACAAATTTCACTAATTGCTAGTGTTCATAATTCATCACCATGTTTCTTTTGTCTGATAGTTCTATCATTTGGACATGTATAATCAAAAACGTTACAAACTAGTGTTCATCATTATCACAAGCCGCTTTGAACACTCACTATGTTTCTTTGACTTATTGTCTGACAGTCCTATAACTTGGACATAGAGCTACAAATGTAACATAGAAGTGTTTGCTACTCACGATATCACTCGGCGCAATTTCATTCCAACTACTTTGATCGTGTTTAGTACTCAAATGCCACATGCTAGTTTTCATAAGTAATCACAGGCAACAACATCACCATCATGTTTCTTTTACGGATCGATTGCTCTGTCACTTAACTGGGGCGGTGAATTCGTACGATCCGCGATCCGATCCGGATAAATTTTGTCATGGTAATGATGCATTGTGGGATTAATCCAAGAATTAATCCAAAAATCGGTGAATTCGTACGATACTTGGATTAATCTCAGGATAAATCTCAATCCACCTCATGAGGTGGATTACTTTTTGGATACATTTTATCCGAATTCCAATGCAAATTGGATAAATCTTTGGGATTCCCCCTCATAGTCCTCGGATCGTACGAATTCACCAAATACTTTTCGGATTAGTAATCCAAGATTCATCCCAAAAGATAAAATTTATCCAGATTGGATTGGGGATCGTACGAATTCACGCCCCCTGAAGAATCACAGTTTAGTGGCGGATGCTTCTGAATCTGAATCACGTGTGTTCCTTAAGTTTGGCGCCTGTGCTGGCTCAGGAGCAGATCTACACTTGCACCTCGCCCATAGCTTGTTCCAGGGAAGTGTGCTAAATGTGTACAGTATCGGGTTGATAGCGCTGTTGATTGGCAGTATGTATATACTAACATAGGCAACAATTTCTCCTGAAATGAAAATAAATAAAAATATACAAATTTTAATTTCATGGAGGTTATTTTGGTCCAATGATATTGGAATTCTTGATTTGAAAGAGCAAAGGAGAACCTTTTGTTGAAATATGTTTTCACTGTTAGTTAGATCATTTCTAGAATCATTTGTTTCTTTCTGACCGGTTGTACTTTATCAGCATGCCACTCTTAAATTGAAACGCAAGGCTTTCATTTTTAGGAAAATATTCAACTATATAGTGGAAATTAAAGATTGGTATAATGTTTTAAAAATATCGGAGAAGCTTAGCCAGGATTACATAGTCTATGCTAATTATCCCTGTTGATAAAACGTTTAACAAGAGCATGTGCAACGAACCTGGCAGCGCCACCTTGTAATAGGTTAGAAATCCCATGATTATTACTGGAACCCAGCAGCAAAAGTCAGTTGCTACGATCCACATCAATTTTAATGCCATCCTTCTGTCTTGCTCTTGTCCCGAGCCTTGGTTGGTTTTTGATTTAGCGATTCTCGTAGCAACAAATATAGCCAAGTAGCCAGTAGCTATAAGAAGAAAAGCTAACAGATTGACAACATTGAAAAGAGCAAAAGAATACTCCCAACCGTTGAAGTGGGAATAAGGTTGCTGCTTTTGTCTGTCTAAAGCAAATCTATCCCCCTGCCTGTTGCTTACACCTTCGTTTAAAATGGCTTCTTTTGAAGAATCATAATTCAACATCAGCGGTAAGCAGAAGCCAGTTTGCGTGTAGAATTCATGAGGACTAAAGTAATCAAGAGGGAGAAGTGGTAAAGCTGTTAAAGTTATACAAAGAGTCCAGCCAACGATGAGAAGACCCTGTACAGCACGCTTGGAAAAGTGCAACCAGATTTTAAAGGGAAACACTATTTTGAGGAACCGGTCAAGCGTCATGACAACGAGGATGTACACAGACATCTCACTTGATAATGATGCAATGAATCCAGAACCCATGCATAAACCACTTTTAATCCAGGCATCCCGGTTTTGAATGTAGATGCCTCTATACTTTATATCTGTCGAAGCCATTATGATAATGTATATTCCCATTATCATATCCGACAATGAAAGATTCATTATCAATATTCGATTAATATAGTTATACTGCGTTCCGGCTTCTCTGTAGCGGAATAAAATAACGGCACTGTTCCCAAGGAGTATACATATACCAAATGTCCAAAGAGACACCCTAAGTATGTCGTTCTTCACCAGGTCTCCACACGAAGACAGGTGGTCTAGCTGTGGATAACATTCTTTAACTGTTGTTGGAACGATGCAGCATAATTCCACATGATAGCTCGAAACATAAGTCAAATTATCTAGTCCTTGAAATAATGACACTGGATATTTTGGCAATGCTTTTTGGTTAATCATTATTAATTCAAGATTTCTAAGTTGGGAAAACGCGTGTTTCTCGATCATATAGATCTGACATTTCGCTAATATCAGGCCTGTCAGTGAATCAAGACCTCCAAACATAGCCGGTTGTAGAAGTGGTATATCTAACATATCGAGAATTAGAGTTTTCAGTTTATTCAACCCATCAAATTGTCCATCTGATATTGACTTATTTCCTGAAACTCCTTCTGCAGATACATGTAGTTTATCAAGATTTTTATATTCTGTTGGATTTCTAAACATATCATTGAATGTATCTAGTGGATCTATGTCTAATACTTGTACTAAATGTGGATTTGGAAGAAACATATTTTCTGCACGTTTTATATCACACCCTGCAATGCTTAATTCCACCAGCGAAGTTAAATCTTGAAACAGTTTACTGTTTATTGGATATTCCAAAAAAGTACGAGATAGACGCAATACCTTAAGCTTGTGTAACCCTCCAAATGATCTGCTACCCACCCTCATTCGTTTCTTATTTTCATATAAATAAAGCTTTTCAAGTTGACTCAGCCGTTTGAATCCGAATGAAAAGATTTCATGTATCTCGTTTCCACCAAGATCCAAACGCTTGAGATTTGGCATTCCATGAAACATCCCATTTTCTATGTAAAGTATTTTGTTTCCACGTACAAACACGCCTCTAACATATTGTAATATGTCAATTGGCATTGTAGACAGTCCTAAATTTTCGCAATTGATTTCTCCTTGCAGCATATCAATAAATGACCACTCGAGGGAATTGGAGCACGAGCACGGCGGTGGTGCTAGACATGCTGAGCTGTTGTTATCCTGGTCCAGACCGGATTCCTTCACTTTTACACACATGAACGCATCTGTGACATTTTCTGTACATTCTGCTTGACTCCATGTAATGTTGACCTCAGATGTTTTCATATGATTTATAGTTTTCACCATCAAGTCGCATGTCCGAGCACCAGTCATTAAACCTGGAAATGAAATGCATGGCAGGAGATTGGAATGGATAAATGGTGAAAGGGATATTTTTCCAATTTTTTTTTACAATCTCAGTTATACTTTTAAAAAAAAAACTTCGAGATCAGATCAAACAATGATCTGTTATGACAGTACAAAGCTTATTCTAGATCTCTATGTGTGCTGTGCCTAGAATACAATGTAAGTGGCCTTACGATTCCCCTATCCAAGGAGCAGGAGTGGGATGGGTTGAGCAAAAATAACGCTTATCGTAATATGTTTCCAAATCAACGGTCTTACCATATCATCACATTGTTGGAAAAGTTAAAGATGAAGATGTGATTTATTGATTTCCATTGTTAAACTCGATCAAGGGCGACGCTCACTTTTTTGTATTGCAAATTTAGTTTTAATTACGAGTGAAACCAAAAATGAGTATCGCACTGACCTGTTTTTCCAGCTTAACTAAATTGTGGATATTCATTATGCTTGTATACATTAAATTCTTGCTGAATTACGTTTTTGAAATGTTACCTGCGTATATAGATTTCTGTGGTTCATATTGACCATACGGGAGTGGCTCTGTGTTATTCAAGTTGCGAAGTGTTTCCTTCATGCATGCCTCTTCCACCCTCCCATATTCGCCATCGTTTGTTATTGCAGCCAGGAAGGCATCTTTAGACCAGCAGCTTTCTCTTGCCTCGACCCATGTTAGCTTGTGAGTTTGGTTGGTAAACAACCCATAGCATCTTCCATTACAATTGTACCAGCCATTTGGGCATGCATCTCAAATGAAAAAAGACAAAAAAGAAAAAGTCGTATCATTTATAGCCATTTGGGTATGAATCTGCAGACAAAATGTAAACAGCCCGTAACATTTATCATCACACCCGTACCACTCATTTGGCATGCATCTGAAATAAAAGACGAACACTGAACAAACCGTAGAGTTTTTCATTGCGTTTAGTAATTAAAGCTAGTTAATATATGTAAAGCTACGGGAGCATTCCAAAAGATCAGTGTCAGAAAATTAACTGTATTTGAACAGTTAGGAGGAACAGCAATACTTATGTTGTTTACGTCCTCTGTACGAGGGTTGTCCCAGAAGTAATGCACTATATGCTCTAACTTTCTTTAATATTCTTCAATTCAGCTGAAATTTTGTGTATATAACGATTCAAGTTTTATCTATTATATTCTGAAGTTTTAGCATCCAACATTAATGTTAAATCTTAATATGGTTGCTATAACAACATGGGGGTAGGGGTGGGCGGGGCAGGTACCAATTTTTCTAATTATGAAAAGATCTATAGTGTTATTTTATTAATATTTCTTTCCTTTAAATGGTCAAAATGTTAAATTTATTTAGCATGATGTTAACCAATAACGAATAATGACATTTAGCACTGTGGTGTCATAATACCACATTTCAATAGTCACGAATTCAACTACAGTCACAGTCAAGAATTTGCAAAAATGGCTGCAATTCTCACCTGATAACAGAAGGCCTTGTGTTTGGTGGCCTAATTTCATACTTCACTTGGACTCACAGCCACACAAAACAATGCTACCATGAAGAAAGTATGTAAGGAGTATATACCAGATAGAACTACAATTATCGGGTGGCAGAATAGATTTAAAAGAGATGATTTGACCCTGTATGACAACTCCAAACATGGGAGGCAAAAACTCCACAAGTCATAATGGAAGATTGCCGAGACTATTTGACCTGGCAGGCATCAAAAGTACATAACTTGCAAAGGGCAATATTTTGAGAAAACGTGAAATGGGACACTGTGCAATATACATCCCTTAAATCTAGGATGTGCTCATAGTAATTTAGTATCTTAAAATGTATTTTTGAGCATACTTCTTATAGCTACACCAAATGGTATTTGTTGATTAATTATTTCGTATTTTAAATTTTTTATTCCTTTTGACATGACTGTATAACCTGACCCGCCCTACCCAAACTAACCAACTTGATTTTATTATAACATCAACATAGTTTTATCAGTCAACAAGAATTTTTTTAGAATAATCAAAATGTCTCTTAGGAACATTTACAGAAAATTTCCTGGACAAATATCAATTATTGATAAAGTTAGAGCATATAGTGCATTACTTCTGAGACAACCCTCGTACGTGCCTGTAATTGGGTACAGGGCGTTCATAAAGTTTTCACTCAGTATACCTTCACTATTCATACATTGAGAAGGAAATTATATTGAATAGGTCCGTGAAGAAAAAAGTTACGGTTGCTATAGTTACATGAGTCAGGGGTAAGCGAAGCAGGCAAAAAGAATCTGTTTTGTTTGAATGTTCGAAATCGAAAGACTAACGGCTTCCATATGGTTTTATTTTCACAATTCTTATTTTGAACCACAATTACAATAAAGACGACCACAGGATCGCCATTCGGGCCCATTGCGACCGTTTTGTATCTGCCTTGGTGTTTGTAAACAAACTAAACCCACCACACGGACGCCATTCGGTAACCGAGCGACATCATTTAACCATAGGCTTTCTATCTTCACAAATGAAAATACGCCTCTACATTAGCAAATATGACTGTAAAGTATTAAACCGTAGAATTTCAAACTGTTGAACTTCTGGGATGCAGGTAAGAAATCGCTAGTATAACAACTCACTTTCCGGAATTTTCAGAATGCCAACGTCATCAGGTTACGCCGTAATGTCATTTAGGGTGCAAAAGTTCAAAATTTATAAATTTTTTCCCTAATTTTTCTAAATATGCTGAACTTTCAATATAACACAATATTATAGGCCTATATTAGTTGAAAAGAAGTGTTTATCATGTTTTAAATATTTTTACACCACCGGTTTCAATGAGAATTTACATTCTTAAATGCCCATTTCTCTGAACCACTTTTCAGCTTATTACTTACTATATGCGGGTGCCAACAAAAAATTATTTGAAATAAGTTCACAATTTTTCGAACAAAATGTCCTTCAAAATCGTCAGTTTAAAATTAAATTGAAAATTTTCACATACCACATTTTGATAACATTGTGTAAGACTATAATATAAGCCAAATTGGTTTAAACTTTATACAGGGCCTTAAAGTAACAACTCACCTTCCGCCGTGAATGTATCCACCAAAACTGAGATGGAAAACATCAACCGGAAAACACCTCTCGTGGTGTAGTTGTCGTTTGGCCTTCCAAAGTCAGACTGGTTGATACTATTTCGTAAATTAACAACGACGTACTCACCTTCCGCCGTGATTGTATCCACCAAAACTGAGACATAAAACATCACCCGAAAAACAGCTCTCGTGGTGTAGTTGTCGTTTGGCCTTTCAAAGTCAGGCTGGTTGATACTATTTCGTAAAGTAACAACGACGTACTCACCTTCCGCCGTGATTGTATCCACCAAAACTGAGACGTAAAACATCACCCGAAAAACAGCTCTCATAGTGCAGTTGCAATTGTCGTTTGGTCTTCCCAAGTCAAGTTAGTTCCGCTACACTGGTTTGTCTGCAAATAATTGAAATTAATTAAAATTTAATTTTCAAGTTAGTTGACAGGATATTGGTGAAATATAAATTATACAGGATTATTGACAGTATGAAGTGTTACTTTATTATGTTATATACAGTACGTGTATAAATTTCAATTGTCGGAGTTCTCTTTTGGCACATCAATGATTTGGCAGTTGATATCAATGCATTTTATATTCAAATATCAGCACTAACAAGAGCATCTTAAGCGATAATCGAAAATGAATCCCATTTCTGTTAAATAGTATGTGAGGAAAATGATGAATAAACAAGTTTAATTCAATAAAGTGTAATTATGTTCCATTCAAAACTGAAGATTCTAGTTTTTTTAATTAGTAAATGATTTTTAGATATCTTACTTACCAGATTTAACAATTGAGATGACCGAGCTCGATGACATCTCCGATGACAAAAGTTTGTATTACAATTTGTATAAACTCTTAGCGTGAGAGTTTAAAAGTATTGTGCCTAAATCGCCAAAAAAATGTCCTATGTTTTGGTAATCAATTTGATTCTTGGATGACTCTACTTGCCGTCTCGTTGACAATTACATTATCGTTGTGTACGACAGAATGTAAATTTTCTTCTCGCTTGCATTGGGATTTGTTAGCGCAACATCAGTGTTGAGATGACGTTTTGCGAACTGTTATATATGCGTATGAACTTTTGAAGATTTGATTCGGGAATATATTCTTAACTGTTTACTCTTGAAGGTCTAACCAATTCTGGTAATGCATTTAATAACATATCATATCGCCTCTAAAATTGCACAAATTGCCATTATTATGTATGAGCAGAAGTTTTATTATCACCATATACAGATTATAATCAGTGAATGTAACAGCAAACTGTAACATACAAATTGGCGAAATCAACAAATGCACTAAACACTAAACACTCAATGTTGTTTGATTCAAAATTGTCCACTATGTATTAAAGAAATCGCGAAAAGAGGTAAAAACGATATATTTTTATTTTTTATTTATTTTTTTTATTTTATTTCATGATAATATAACAATGGAATGTACGGAGCATGTGAACTCGACATTGGAGACAATTTATTTTGGGTCGCAACGTAACAAATCTTATCAAAAACAAGCAATCAATTACAAATATTCAGTCCACAGTAAGCGTTTTGTGGCACAATTTTCCAAACACGAGGGCTATTGTTCTTTCCCGAGGCACACCCAATCATCGCTTGATACTGACCAGTGGTATCGAAGTGTTAAAGGACAATATTGCTCTTTTTCTCAAGACAAGATAAGTCGAACACAATTAAGAAATATTGTTCATTTACGACGCACACAAAGTTAAGCATGAGCAAGGACAATCGTTCATTCACTAGGAACAATCAGTCAAGTACATAGACAATAGTTCACTCACAAGGCACAATCAATAAGATACAATCAAGATGACAAACTCATTGTATCACAATTAAGGACAATCGTTTATTCACGAGGCACACTCAGTCAAACACAATCAAGGACTATCGTTAATTCACGAGGCACAGTCAAGTACAATCAAGGACTATCGATCGTTCATTCACGAGGCACAATCAGTCAAACACAATCAAGGACTGTCGTTTATTCACAAGACACAATCAGTCAAGCACAATCAAGGACTATCGTTCATTCACGAGGCACAGTCAAGTACAATCAAGGACTACCGTTCATTCACGAGGCACAGTCAAGTACAATCAAAGACTATCGTTATTTCACGAGGCACAGTCAAGTACAAAGACTATCGTTCATTCACGAGGCACAGTCAAGTACAATCAAGGACTATCGTTTATTCATGAGACACAATCAGTCAAGCACAATCAAGGGCTGTCGTTTATTCAGGAGGCTCATTCTACCAAGCACAATCAAGGACTATCGTTCATTTACGACGCACAATCAGTCAACCACAATCACAGACTATTGTTCATTTTCGAGGCACAATCAGTCAAACACAATCACAGACTATCGTTCATTTTCGAGGCACAATCAGTCAAACACAATCAAGGACTGTCGTTCATTCATGAGACACAATCAGTCAAGCACAATCAAGGACTGTCGTTTATTCACGAGGGTCATTCTACCAAGCACAATTAATGACTATCGTTCATTTACGACGCACAATCAGTCAACCACAATCAAGGACTGTCGTTCATTTATGAGACACAACCAGCCAAGCACAATCAAGGACTGTCGTTTATTCACGAGGGTCATTCTACCAAGCACAATCAATGACTATCGTTCATTTACGACGCACAATCAGTCAACCACAATCACAGACTATAGTTCATTTTTGAGGCACAATCAGTCAAGCACAATCAAGAACTGTCGTTCGTTCACGAGGCCCAAGCAGTTAAGCACAATCAATGACTTATAATTCTGTTTTCCCAGTAAATCAATCCACGACAATCAAGGACTCTCTTTCTCACTTAAGGCATTAATAATCAATCGGGCAATTGAGTACTTTCAAGAACAAAACATCTTCTCTCAAGGCAAACGTAATATCAATTCTGTATTCATATATCATTAGATTTTTACCTGAATATCTAGACAAATCATTTTTCCACTAAACTTTTCATCTATTGGGCACCACTGATATGCTGTTTATCATATGATCCTCCCTGGACTATACATCTTTAGTGGCCAGTTGAAAAATGTAGGCATATACATGTGCCTTCAGAATTAAATCTGCTCTCATCTAGTAAAACAATACTCTTTTTCTTTTCCAAGACGTCTTGGTAACATTTATTGGTAACAATGTCAAAGGATCACAGGCTTTTTAAATCAATCCGCTGTGTGACATTGCAATCATATTCTGTTCAAAAACTGTGAACAACTGTAGGTCAACTCTTTTAAATAGCAAAATGTTGTCGATCCATGAAAGTCGAAAAATTAGAGATTATTAATTAGGGAAATTGCTTTATGAAATACTAAACGATTCATTTAATGAATAACACTGCAGGATTGAACTAATTGTTTGAGTCTTTCAATTAAGATATTGAAATAATAAGTATTTTGGCATTTTGTTATTCTCCCATCATTTACAATCAAATGAGTTGACAGAATGTCAACATTTTCATAAACTGTTTTTGTATGATTTGCATGAAATAATTCTAAACACTAAAGAGGAGTTTTAATTTGAATAAAGTAGTATACTGTATTTTATCTTAATATGTCTGAGAGTAGATGGATACATTTCTCTCGTGAACATACGAGGGGCGATCAGAAAACAATGGACTGTTGGCTCTAACTTTGCCAATATTCAGTCTTATTTATGATTTTGAATATAGCCTATATTTTCATTTAAAAAATGTATGAGGTTCATTGCTCTCAGACAACATTGCACGTTTGTCTTGGTTGCCATGGTAACCGACGTCACGACAAAGTGGATATGCTTTTCAATTTTTATGTATTATTTTGTCTTAATTTTTAGGCATTGTATGTATGGGAACTTACTTGTTGCATCATATAAACCATCCCAGAGGCATAGCCACGATCTAACATTTAGTGAGGCAACTTTTATTTGGCGAGGCAAAATTGAGTGAAAGCGAAAGAACACTAGCATTAGGGCTATATTTCATGTACACAAGAAAACGCCTGAACTAATATTGTTTGTAAAATTTTGGCGGGGCAGTAAGCTCGCTTGCCGCAATATGGTAATTCAATTCAATTCAATTTATTTGTAAGAACAAGTATGATTTACATAATAAAACATAGTAGGTGACGTCATTTTCAGACGTTTATACACACACATAATAAGTGGTACAAAAAATCTAATCTAAGAATTAAGTTGAACAGTGATAAAAAATGTTCGTATCAAATGAAACTACTTTAATTTTTAAAGGTGAATGGAAGAATCAACTGATATCTCAAATGGGAATCGAGCATGTTAATTATAAGACAAACAGTCATATTCTAAGTCTGATACTCAATGTTAAAGAACTAATCAATCGTAAAAAAGCAAGGTCAGTAAATATATACAGAATATAAAATATAAGAATGAATGAACCCAACTGAAATCAAGTAATGTATTAGTATACATGTGTATAATATCCAAGAGTGGTTATAAAAGCGGTAATATTTCAGAAACGTTACCAGGCTAATTCATTGCCTTAGTTTGTTTAGGTTACATTTTCATCATGGATAGTAACAATACTACAATTCAATTGTAAAGTCATATCTACATAGATCTGCTATTCACAAGTTGTTGATTCATTGCGTGAGGATTTGGATTTATGTCCAATTCTGTACGATGACAATGACTATCAAATCCTTCAAACGAACAGAGGATTTTCCCATTGAACATCCAACAGTCTTTCACAAAATCCATATTTCTAACAGTTTTCATCAACTTGACATTCTTTACAGAATAGCAATACCAAATTTGGCAAGTTGGTTACGCCGTGACATCCTTTTAATAAAGCAAAATAATAAAAACAAAAGGGTCGCTGGGCCGTACCCTTAAACGTTAAAAGAGGGATGATTATTGCCTGTGGAGAGCTGCTTTGCCAAATTGTTCTGAGATCTATGACGCCGTCAATTCAATATACTATAATACTTGAGATCAATCAGATGGCGTCTTTGTGTCTCAATGAACGTCCTTGAAGAATTCAAAAATTGATAATTCATCGGATTTTATCACCAGTGACATCATTTAAACACCTTGAACAAGTTTTGACTGTTCGCCAGCTATTGTTTACCGTTATCGTTTGCATTGTTTTGTAAGTGTTGTCATAACTTTTACAAGTACCCTCGTCCTTTCTTACATGCTGATACCCCTTATCTCAATGATTCTATGTGAACACTGTTACGAGATGTTGCATATCATTCCTTCTTCTTTTTTAGTCTTGGTCGATTATTGAAAAATGTCCGTTTGTCAGTCGATTTATTTTACATCTTGTGATTAGTGCAATTTTATA